TTTTGAGTTCGGCATCTTCTGTAGTATAAATATATTTTTGCTTCTGGCAACATAGAGAACTCAAATTCAAAAGATTAAACATGTTTGATTTTTTTTATCTTTAAGTGTTATACACTATTATTTGAAATTTTAAAAAGTTTGGGTTTTTTTTTTCAATTAGAATGAAAATACTATTGTATTATTAAAGCTGATTACATACTTCTAGTCTTACTAAATGGATTACTTAAATTATAAAGTTGTTAAGAAATTCTAATCATAACCATTACCTCTGAATGCCTGAGCACTATAGCTGGACTTAAGGTTGATGGCCACATAGATGGGTAATGGATTCTGACCATTATCCACTGCTCGCCGTTGATCCGAGAGTCTATGCTCGTCTTTCTGGTTTTGATTAAAAATGGTTAATGGAATGAAGTGAAAAACAACTTGCACTTGAAATAACATCATTTGAATTATCAGCTTTATCCAGAGTGTCCTTCCCATTGTCAGCTCCTTAGATTGTTCAGAAATATCTGTCAAGGGATATTCCAAACTTTGCAAGTATCCCATAAGAAGCAGCTACACCCTCCATGGGTTCTTGAATTTTGTGATGTGCAGAGAGGCTGACTGTAGATTCAGCAAGGAAAAAAAAGACACGTCCAGAAATAAATACATGGCTAAGTGAAAGGTACTTTCCTTGGCTGAATCTCAGCAAACAGAGTTGATAATATTTTAAGATACTTTGCAAGCTTTTTCATACGCAAGAATATATTCTACTGCACATGGCAATTTAAAACTTCCCTGTATAAACATAATCCAGAAGGAAACTTCTTAAGTTATACTATTTTTAAAGTACCAACATTCCTATCACTCTCTCTTAAAACTTTATACCATATTTAGAGAATGGTCTTTCCCGTTGTTTGAATCATCTCCATATGCAGTCTATGACTAAGTCACTTTATAAATTAATATCGTCATTTATGCTAGCGAAGTAAATTATTTCAAACCTAAGTGCCTCTTCTAGTCAGAATAATTAATGTCCAAAGTGATATAACTTTACATTTCAAAACATTTTTTCCCCTTGGTATTTTTCTTTCTTTAGGAAGAAAGAACACCTTTGACTGCAATGTCATGCCTGCAGTTCAAGGTCAGCCTCACTTTAAAGCAAGAGTACTGTTTTAATAATGGATCCAAATATACAGAACTTGATCAACCACTAATTAAACTAATTATTTGCGTTTTTAGTACTGAATGGCATCCCAGGGTTTATCATCTTCTCCTTTATAGCTATAGACATTCATCATTCTGGAAAAAAAGAAATAATACCTTATCATGTAGCATGGATTCAATGACAAGCCCCCAAAGGTCTATGAAAGAAGTGTTATGTCCTTCTTTAGTCCTCTCCATGAGGTCATTATAGTAGTACTTCAGACAATCCAAAGAAAAACAGCAGATCTTAGATTTGGTCACTTGCTTGCGAGCTTCCTTGATTGCATCCTCCAGATATTTTTGTGACCAATTAGCGTCTTCATATAGGTTTGCCATTGTCCTGAAGAAACATTAGAAGAAAATAATGAAAGAGGAGTAATGCTGTGGTTTGGCTTCGAAGAACTTCTGTGCAACCTGTTTCTTAATTTTTAAGCAGTTCGCAACTGAAAATGAAACACACTTAAAATACTCTAATTTCAAGAGCAAACGAAACCTCCAAGGTTTCCTGGTTTTGATGAAAAAAAAATTATGTGGACTCAAAAATTATCTCAGAAATTCAAGGGAGGGAAGAAAAAAATCACCCAAGGCTATTAAATACAAAGACTCCACCAGTCCTCAGAAAAGCCATCTCTTGGAAGCTGGGGAATATTCTAGGGAGCAGCCACTACTAGCTTGCTCTAGTTCTACATTTGCTCCCAAGTATCTGCTAACAGCTCCTGCCAGCAAGAGAACCGGGCAGTTCTTGGGTCTTGGGCACGTCCTGGTACAACCATTCTTACTTGTCTCTTTGAAATCATAGCACAGGCAGGTACACTCAGATCTCCACATACAAACAGAGAAGTTAAAAGAGTTTTGGCAAATACTTAGACATACCTGTCATTAAGCTTTGGACTTATACAAAGGATTTACACAAAATTCAGTGCAAAAAACCTCTCCACTTCCAACCAAGTGTAGAGGAGCAGAGCTCCTCTGGATTAAATACTTCACTTAAGTATGACAACATCTTTGGTATGCCTACTGGGAGATAAGAGCACTTTACAATGAGCAACTATAGCTTCAGTCTCTCTGAGGTCCTTAACTTGGCATTATTTGTTGGACTGTCTGAGCCAATATTAATTCCACTAGCCCCAAATACATCTTTTACCAGAGGTAGATGCACTCTAAATCCAAAATGGAAGTGAGAATAACCAGCAAGTGGCAGGCATAAATTCTTCCTCCAATCTTTCTTCAATTTCCAGTCTAAAGACAATTTCGTTGCATTCAGTCTAAGGTATAATTGATAGAATATGAAAAGGTAATAGAGCATTTACATGAAAATATCAGGCATAATCTGTGTCAGTGTGGTGTCAAAAGCAGCTGATGAATGTGATAATTGATCTCTTATTCCATATCTTTTTTTCTATGCTCAAGGTGGACACAGGGGAGATCATGGGGAAAACAGAAGTGCTTTGCTGAGTGACATATAAGCTGATGTGGTAGTACTGAGCACTACTGAGCAGAGAGTATAAACATAAACCTTGTTTGGGTCATTCTCACCATGTGGTACCCGATAAACCACCAATGTAGGAAATGCAATCTAACAGATTGAGTTTCTGGAGACCCAGCAGGCTGCCGTACATCGCTGTCAGCGATCTCGTCCCTCCCCCAGTTGTCGTGATGGCCACCACCGGTACCTGTTCAATATAGCAAGGCACAAGAAGCAAAAGCCGTGCACGTATTAGAGACAAGCAATCCTTCGTACTGCAGAAATCAGATAACAGGTCACAGGCATTGATACAAACAGTGATGTTACTTCATGCAAAAAGGATGTGATTGTTGCAAAAGGCCTCTGTTGCCACCATGTGACTGGTGGGAGAGGGAAGGCTTGTGTCCTACCCACTCAGATGGGGTGGGTGGGAGGCTATTTACTTAATACGTAATTGCAAATGAACCTCATCACCCTGGAATTCTTTTCAAAGTGTATTATTAGAAGCCGTCACAGAAATCACAGGATTTACCATGCTGGAGCAGATTAGGGGTCCGTGATTCTGCCTTTAACAATGACCAGTGTCTCAGAAGAACGCACAGCACCCTGTAATCAGCCAGACCACACAACAGCAGAAGCCTTCCTGGCCTCAGGCCACCAATTACTTTATATCCTGAAACACAATCGTCGATAGGGCTTCCCCCCCTTCCAAGGTCCAAGTGTAACTGAAGAGACAGACTGTTCTTCTCTTAATCCTTCCCTGATCTAGTGCACCCTTTGCTTCCATTAGCATCTTGAGTTGTGTGGATGCTTACATGCCCTATGGAAAATGTCTATTTACACCTTCCAAGTATTAGCTTCATCAGCTTCAAGTACCTAGCTTCATCAAGCGATCTGCTGTTCTAAAGTCTATGAGTAGAGCCTGAAGAAAATTTCTCCCATTCTATGTAATCAAAAAAATAAAAACCAACCAAAATATATGTTCCTCCTACCCTAAACTCATTAAGAACTTAAAATTTAGGATTAAAATAAAATCATAATGAGGAAAAATCTGATCATTTTAACTAAAATTAGAATAATCTCGAAAAGGTGTATTTTGTTTTTTACATTTTCTAAACTTTCTCATTATGAATGAAAATTCTAACAATATATTTTTTTTTCAGTTCAAATATAAGGAAGTCAACAAGGTAGAGCGGATTTTTTTTTCTCCACAATTCTGAAGTTAAATACATGAAGAGGAGCCAGGGTAATTAGACCTTCTCAAAAAACAGCTTTGGTTTAATCATTTTGGTCTTCCCACCTCAACCACTTTTCCACACGTCAGGAAACTCTGAGACAGCCATGTAAAAAAGCCTTCTTTCCAGCTTTCTTGAAAACTTTATTTCCTACATTATTCTCTGATCTGAAATCCAAAATATGATCATTTTAGACCTGTACTGTATCCAAAGCACTATTTCTTTTAGTTGTCAGCTAGAAAGCATACTTGCTGTGGCTACGTTTGTACTTCTCTGATTTTCCAACAACCCAACTAGGCACACACTTGTGACTCAGTGATGGAGGCAGGAGCAAGGGCTGCAGTGACATAGCTACACTTTTAATTACCTCTTTCAGCCACACAATGCTATAAGATTCACTCTTCTTTTCCAGCTTGACAGTTTTATTTTAGTAGTCAGTTTTCCCAACAGCACACCTTTTCTGCCGCAGAAACCACCCAAAGTATCAGATATCTGTGTGAAAATTTCTGCTTCCTCCTCTCAAAATCCTTTACCAATGCCATGACCACCACCTTGCCTCTGTTACTGAGCTAAGGCACGCTATCTCCCAGGCAGCAACTCCCACCTGTTCCATGCCTGCCCACTAGAAATTTTCCTCCTGAGATCCATGAGCAATATCAAGAATAAACAGGAATGGGTTAAATTGAGGCGCTGTTGAGAAGTTTTGGGGGCTATAAAGGCATTATCCTGCCTTTCTCACTCTGCTGCATGAACCAGCTACTGCTCCTCTTGCTCATCTCTTGTCCTGTATGGCCAGGCCTGTTCCAGAACAGCAAGATTATTTAAGTTGGTTTTTTTTATTTTTGGTTTCAATTTGTGAGCCAGACCCTAATCCCTGGAGAGGAGCTGCTACCAAAGACTGCATTGGCTTGCCTCATGCTCTTTCAGATCCTCTTCCAAATGAAGAATCTTTTTCAGAGCAGCAGCAACGTATTTCTTCCTTTTCCTCAGGAAGTTCTGCTCTTCCATGCACAAACCAAACCCCAAGCGCACATCCAGGTCTCCTGAACTGGAACAGACAATGGGATAAATCAATACACATGTCATTTATAGCTGATTTCAAGACCTGTAGTAGTCAGTAAACTCCAGAAATCATCTGTAAAACAAGCTATTTCCAAGTCTACATATTGATCAAGAAGCAGAAGGAAAAGGAGCGTTTCTATTGCCAGTAAGAAGCAGTAGTAAGGATGAAGAAGAGTTCCAAGGTGCTTTTGATTTCTTGTGAACATGGGCACAAAAACAAGACACACAAGCCAGGGAAAGATCCTAGGGGATAGTTTCAGGAGTAATTTTTGCTATAGCTGTTCCTTTTTGTCACTGTGACAGCCTGGAAAACTCAAGTGATGCCACCATCACCTGTTCTCAGGTTTCGATAGCTCACTAAAAGTATTTAAAGGTGAAGGTCCTAATGAGCTGTGTGATGGAGCTTGAACTGCAGAGCAAGCTTCACCCCCTGCTCAGCTTCTGTCCTGTGAAAACCAGCCTTTCACCTGTGTGCTGAACAGATTTCTAGATAAGCATTTGCAAGCTTCGTCCCGTAAATATATAAGAATATCCATAATTTTTTCCCCACACGTGCAGCCACATTGAAATCTTTCCCTTGAGAAATGTGAAGCACAAGCCAAAATTTCTGCAGAAAAAAGGTACAGAACCAACCAAACGGCAGCTAATATTTTGTGCCTTCAACACCACAAATATACTTGTTACTGAGAAGAGAAGAGCACTCAAAATTGACCAAATCATCTGGGTCACATCCCCCTCTGGTGGCTGCAAACTCTATCCTTTCATTAATATTTCACAGACATGAACGTTTCAATGATTTATTTTAGTAACCTCTGTTCTCCAGCAAATTTGATATATCACAGTGTAATTTTGAGTAAGGTCAATTGTTTGACATTGTGAAAACAAATAACTTTTTTAGCAGTAAAGTTTTTCTCACTCTCCCTATAAATCTGTATCTGTTAGATTTACATTTCAGCGTATTTTGCTATGGGCTGAGATAAACTGCTCCCATGCTCTGAAAATCCACCTCACTTCCCTTCTGTATATATTACCCAGTAGCAAGGATGCTGTGAGCTGTATGAAGTTTTCAGCTTTACCTTGACACCTCATTGCCTTCAACTTTACCCATCACTGGTGCAATACTGTCCCTGCCAGTGGGCTGGCAGTGGTGTAGCTGGTCAGGGCCCAGCTTTCATTCTGCTCAGTGACGCAGAAGGGGCAGAATTCAGGCTGCCCTATGCTTGTTTTGGTGACTTTGCAAGGTTATGGATGGACAGAATTTATTTCAGTCATTATGCAGGTCCAACTTGGCATAAGTGGGCAACAAAATTCATACTCAAGTAGCGCAGTTTTACTCATGTCTAAGAAGAGTAGTCATAAAATAGGTCATGTTTACTCTGAATAAACCTACCAAGGCTTATAAACTCATATTGAACTGCATGATCCTGTAGCTGCAGCAGACTTGCACTTACCCCAGGCACCACGTGAGTACAGGACAAAGCACTCAGGCGGTATGTGTTCATCTATCCACCTACCATAGAAAAAAACCTAGATAACTAGTTTACAGTAATCCCGGATGACTGGACAAAAAGGAGGTATCTTACCATTTTTTTGCTGTCAAGCACAAGTGAAAGGAATTATCCTAGAAATCCAGAAAATAAAGCTGATTACCACCAAGTTTTAAAACATTTTTTTCCTTCAAGCTCAGGTAAGGCTTACTGAGTAAGAGAGAAGGTTCTCAAATAATAATTCATATGGCTAAGGACATTGTTTTGGTGCAATCAACCAAAGTCTCACTCCTTGCTCGGGATTCAAATTCTCCCTCATCTGACAAGCCTGTCTGTTTGGAGCTCTTACCGTGCCATGAGCTTGCATGTTACACCAGCTCACAGTGTGCACACTTAGAAGGAGCAACAAAAACGAGACAAGTGACCCTATTAAAAGAATAGGTACATACACAAACATTCTCAGTATTGATATTTGGATAATTAAGATTTGAATTAAGCTCATATTCTGGATTGTTGGGGATTTTTTGGGGGTTTTGTTTAGTTTTGGTTTGGTTTGGTTTGGTTTTAATTACTGACCATTCTGGAATTACCCCGATACCCAAAAATATATTTTGGAATGCATGTGTATATGATGGTCATTTTTGTTCCTTGAAACCATTTAATTCTAATTTTGAGATGTAGGTTTGCAACTATTTCCATTTTACTGTAATTATTTTAAACACCTGCTTCCTTAAAAGTAAATGTGACAGTACCAGTTTTCTAACATGTTCAGTATACAGCTGTAAAATTGCACACAGTGATTTTGTTCACTTTTTAATTTATTTCTAGAGGGACAATATTAAGCACATTTTGAAATTATTTATTTCAAAAGGTTCAAGCACTCACCTCTTCTACTATTATTTCCTTCTGCAAAGGGAGTGAATTCAGTGGGAAAGAAAGGACCCCAGATTTCTCTGTTTCATTTTTAGCTGCCAGCTGAAACAACATAAAAAGTGGTAAGGACGTGCACATGGAAGGTTTGCCATCTCTAGAACTCCTACTAAGAGGAAGAGTTCAGTTCACTGATTACATTGATTTCTTCTTCTAATTTCATTGAGGTTAATGATAACATACAGAAGGGCAACATACCTCCTCTGGTAAAACAATATCCAGTCTTGCGTGGTCATTTATGACACAGTGAAATACGATGATCCTAAGTCTGGTGTCAGAATCCAGAGAAATCTTCTGCCTTCCTTCATGGGAGCCTTTCACTGTGAATGTAAGCTCCTGATCTAAACATAGAGGCAGGGAACAGAGAGAATTTTAACTATTCCAAGCACACACACACGTAACTAATATATAAAATCCTCTTCTACTCTGCATTCTTTTTGTCTGATTTTGCTTACACCACAATGATGAAGTAGAGTGCGGGCCTGAAACAGATTGAAAACTCATATAAAACATTTTGGTGGATCTGTATAAATCATTAACATACAGAAAACCCATATTTTTAAAATACCAAAGAGTGCTACTTGGTCATCGCCTTCCATGAATAAATAAAACCAAGATTTAGATTTAAAGGAGTGTCAGTTTAGATGCACTTTGAATTATTCACATTGAATAAAAGAGTCATTTATTGGGTGTCAGTCTGTTCTGGTTCGTTTTGTACTTTTTGTTGTATATTTTGTCATATATTTTGTCTGCTACAATAGTCAAAGGATTCAAACACAAAAATCAAGAAGACTTGTTACAAAGTCAAACAACCTGGTAACCCAGAGGCTGTGTTCCTTGTACAGAAAAGCCTTTACATTTACAGAGAGATCATATGCTGCTCTCTTGCAAGATCAGGGCCAAGAAGTATATAATTTCAGGTCACTAACCTTTCCTCTCCATGTTACATTTCAGCCTGAAACTTCCTATAACACAGCTCAGCCATTGCTACCATTTTATTCATAAAGGTCAATTTTCCGTTCATAAAACAGTCATGGTTTTTTTTAAGATTTGGCTCATGAGCAGCTCTGCACAAGCAAATGAACTTAAAGACTAATTAAGAGTCCTGCTATATTTATTAGAGCTACATTTGGCAGCAAAGTCCTTATTTGGTGATGGTTTGCATTTTGTGCAGACCCCTTCGATACAATTTTACATTTAAACTTAAGAGGTTTTTATCATTTTTGCTCAAGCAACCACAAAAAAAAAACCTCTTTCAGAACCCTGAATGTGTAGAAACTTTGTACATACTTAAACCCAAATTAAATATACAGGATAACATTTCTACATATTAATTTAATTATAAGGTGATTTCAAAAGAAGATCCAACTTAATTTAAAATTCTCATTTTGAACAAACAATAAGCAAAAAGAACTAACGTAATTTTTTCCAAGTTTTTCATTCTAGTCTATATGGCTCTGTTTTTGCATCGATTTAAGATTTGTCTCAGAACTAAATACTTGACTAACTTGAAGTTTGACAGATACAATCTTTCTGCAAGGTGAGGCGTGGCGTAACTAAGTATTGTGTGACACAGCTGGAGTGACAGTCACAACAGATTATTAATTTTTCAACATATGTTATAAAGACTGAATCACAACACAAAAACCAATGGCTTAATGAAGCTATAACCTCACTTGTGGATTGCTGCTTCAGCTTCCCTGTATCCACTCTGACCTCCAAACAGGAAACTTCGCGTGCCTGTAGCAAGAGAGGATAAATGATGATTGAGAAAAGGGTAAATGTCATTGCAAGTGATTCATACAGTTCTCGACCAGTCCCTGTAGTTGATCAATGAGCAACACAATTATTATCTCATACTGTGTCCCCAGATAACATGAGGACAACAGTGACTTGGGGCTTTTTTCTAAGTTTGAAAGTAAAGTGTAACAACTCATGAGCTGCTTGACCTTGGAGAGACAGTTAAGATGATGAAGCCTATTCAAAATAATAGGTATATTGAGATATGGCCCTCTTCTTAAGAGCATTTTATCACTTTCTTCATTAACCCCTGATAGTTCCAGGTGTAATACGGGGATAACAGGTAGGAAATTCAGGTTTACAGAAGTAGATGGCACATGCATGCTGAGAGCAGCCTTACAGCTTTCCTCTGCAGAAGGCAGCACCGCTCTGCAGCGATGGGAAGAGTGGTCCCTAGTGCCAACACAGATCCTTTTTCTCAGTGGGACAGCTCAAAGTTCCCAGAATTAAAAAGATGAACACTTGTTTTGCAGGCACAGGAAAGACTGTAAGAAATATACTTTACCACTAGTACTCCATTAGTAATGATGCCATCAGGATAGTCCAGACTGAAAAATAAAACGGAAAATATGATGTCATGCATGGGACAACCTAGATAAATACTTAATGCTGTGAATTAACACATTACTCATTTTTTTCCCCATCAACTTTGACATTTCTGACTTCAACATTCTCACTCAAAAGTACTTTAAAGCTTTTATCAGGCTTAGTTCTAGATGATGAACTGAGTTGCAAGTTTTTCCATCCACCCATGACAGAATAGGAAGCTGGGCTTTTACTCCTGTGGTTTTTCATACTGGCTTTAATAAACCATCTAATTAATTCTGATTATGTGACATTCTGAGTTTGAGGAGAGCTGGAGGCTGTTACATCCATCTTGATTATTTTTATCATTATACAGTTTGACCAAGGTTTTGTACTTGAAAAACTAGTACACTTGTCTGTATTTCCACTATTTTCCAAAAGCTACCATAACAGTGGAAGAAATTGTACTCACTTCTATAAAGTGATTTGCATAATGTACATGAGATTTTAATATATCACCACGTGTAGATATATTTCCATTTATCCATCGAAGTCAGAAGTGGATTCATATACTGCAGACACCAATTTTTATATTCTTAAATATTTTTCCCTCAGACAAAAGGATCTCTCATAATTTACCCTTTTATTAAATTGCAGAGGTAAATTCATACCTCATCTTAATAACACAGATTAGTCCAAAGGGAATACATACATACATAAAATTATAAGGATTGAGCACCAGCTCCCCAACCTGCTGCAGACAGCATGAACTTCACAAGATACGGATTACACACTCTGTAATCTCACATAGTTCTATAGTTGAGATATATATTTCATCTCAGATGAAACCAGGCAATACGCTTCCTTTAAAATCAGATTAATTACATTGTTATTATCCGCTTTAAGAAAATGTTTATCATGACTACTAGATTTCAGCATAAACACAAATGAAAAATAACTCTGTAAAATTTCCCATGACAAAGAGCTCTCTCAAAATTTCAAAGCTCATAAACTGTTTAAAGTTTCATTTCCAAATCAGTATTTTCCTGTAAGGGAAAAATATGAGCTGGCTAAATACAGTGCAGAACACTCGGGAGAAACTTGCCCGTAAAAAAAAAACCTCACCACAACAAAAAACAACCCCAACCCCTGACACCCCCAAAAACGTTATACACTGGAAAAAAGAATTTTACTTAAGAATTTTGTAGGATCTTTTTTTGAAAGTGTAATTTGAAGAGTTCAAAGAACATCGGTCAGAAATGAGCAAAAATTATTCAGTGTTTCTACCTGCATGCAGGGAAATGGATTTCAGTATCACTTGAGTTTTGTTTCAGATACAAACTTTGCACTTATTTACTATTTTGTAGTCAAATAGTTGTAACATTATATGATATATGATGTCACTATTCCCAAATACTAGATTAAAAAAATAAGGAAAGCAGAAAGACAGCATGGTAGATATTAAAAGGTCTCAGCCTGCATAGTCTGGTGAAATGAAGGTGGAAAGGCAGGAAAGGATGTTTCTTCATGGAAGTAAATGTAAAGTACGGTACTGTTTGGTTATTAGTATCAGCAAAGTATAAAGTTAAGCTGATAGTTAGGAGATCCAAGGCATGACCTTCAAACAGGCTGGAAGAACCTGCACTGCTGGACAGAATGGCGTGGAAGGCTCCTGGGAAGAACCAGGACAACAGAGGCATTTAGCACCAACAGCCGAGATGTCCTTCTTGGGGTGTCACCTCTGCAGTCCCTGCTGTAAGGACGCCCAGCTGCTGTCACTTGTTGGTTACTCTCCACACTGCACTTCCAACTTCCAATATTATATCCCAAATTGCAAGGCTTCTGCTGATCACAGCATAGCAGATTTCTAAAATGTTGGTTTTTTTAACCTGGTGATCCATACAGTTGTTTTAAGAAGAGCAAAGGTACTCACCTTTCTCAGAAGCTTTGGAGATCAGCTGTGGCTAGAAACACCGCTGAGTTGGGTGCAGAAGAGCTCTTACCATTCAAGTTAGCAGGCACCTTTGAATAGTTTGCCTATCTTTGGAGCACTGAATGATGTCCGCTTCTCAGGACTAGCTGGTAATCTCCCTAAGAACCAACCTGCTATCAGACAGCCCTTGTTACACGTGCTAACACTCCTGTCTTCTCTTCCATCATGGTTTGTGATTTGTGGCCTTTTTAATGCAGATTGCAGTTTTATTAAGAAAATTAGGAGCATATTATGTCCTGTGACAGGGGAAGGCAGAAACAGAGACCCTGGGCATCCTTCTCCACTAAATATCTATTGAAGGGATGCCCAAGACTGCAGTGGACTCTCTGAGCCCAAGGATCACTTCCTAACACCTGGTATGTATCAACCTACCACCTTCTCCTTCTTAGATTGTGCCTGGCTTATAATGAAATGGGCAATATTGTATGAGGAGTTACAGTCACACAGATTCTCATATTACAGTTCACATTTAGAGCAAACTACCTTGCTCCATTTCACCAGAGAAACTGGATTTTTTTGATACCTATGTAGAAAATCCTAATTCTTTTATGTCAGATCCAGCTCTTCCTTCTTTTAGTAGCTTCCACATAGTGCAGGCTACTTTTCTGAGCTTTCTGATGACACAAAAGAAGCATGGGGGATGGTACTATTGTAATGAAAAAAACTGTATTCACCTCAGAGATTCCTTGGTTGTCATCTTTCTTAGCTTAAAACTTTTGCCTTCAGTGCTCCTTGAGGCCCTGTGACTCCCCGTCACAAACACAAATACAAACAGTACATTTGGCCCCCGATGGATGGAGACTTGGGCTACTCTGAGACTTTCCTCAGCAGTGCCCAGATGAAACGGCCAGCATCATCTGCTGGTCCTTCCCCACGTTGGGGAACTTTCTCAAAATAACACAGCAGAAATACAGAAAGAAAAGATGACTTTTATTTTCTAAAAATCATGCTTTTGCCATATTTCAATAATTAATATTTAACTTTTATACAACTTTTTGTACATCTATTTACATTTATTTGTGTTAAGTTGGCTTTGCTTTGAAACATTGTCTTTCACATTTGAAAAAAAAAAAAAAGAAAAAGGAGCTGGGATGAAAGGTTGTGTAAGAGTAGTCCTTCAAGAATTGTTTGAGATGCGCCTCCCCAAGTCAGGACATCTGAAAGACAGAAAGAGACCAAAAAGATGATCAGCAGACCCAGCAAATACCCTGGGCCCCTCAGACCTCTCCTTAGAAACTCAAAATACCTTTTAGTTCATCAGTAGTCTCTTTGTGACCCCTTAATATCAGGTGTGGGCTTCAGTAGAAGTCAGAGGGGATGGGGATATTGAGCGAGCGAAGCCACCTAGTCCAGCGGGACCCTGTTGTCTCTGCAGTAACTCGGATAGGCTCAGGCTGTCGCTGGACCCTACCAGTGGAAACACAAGGGAGAAAGTCCACGTCACTGTTGATAATCACCAGAAAATAACACTAAAAGCACTAAAGTATGCAAATTAGCAACCTGTGTACAACGACCTTACCTTTTCTGTCACTGCTGCTCAAGGGCAGCAGGTCTCATGCCAGCTGGGCTCGTGTTAGGGGCCCATAAAACTTTGGGTGGCCGTTTGCAATCCCTTGGCTCGGTTGCTGGTGAAAAGGCACTTGGAGGAAGGAGCATACCTTCCCCTCTTTGTCGATAGGATCAAACGTTTGGCTCTCGGTACCTGCCACAGGTAGTGGCAACAGAGAGGTGAGCATCTGCAGGTACTGCAGGAGAGCTATAAGAGTGAGGCAAAACTAGAGAGAGTATCCATCTTGCAGTTGTGGAAACCAAGCTACCAAAATGAGGGGTTTCTTCCATTTTAAATAAAAGGTGTTAAGAATGAATGCAGGAATCAATTTCATACAGCCCACCAGTGTATTATGAGGGAATTTTTGCAATGTTCTTTGGTAAAATTAACACAAAATACAGTTTTTGCAGTAAGGTCAATAGACAAACAGAAATATGAGTGACAAAGCCACTATCGTGGGTGTGACCCAGGAAACTTTCTTGGTATGGGGTTACACTTTATGTGTGATATTATTCATCTGCTGGAAAGAAAGAACAGGCTAAAACAGTAAATGTTGCAATTGATAAAGTCTGAAATGAAGATGGGAAATGAAAAACTACGACAGATAGTGTCAGACAAAATGTGCCGGTGGGAATAATTATTAATTTCAGAGATAAACTGCCGTATTTACCAAAAGAAAGTATGTTCTCATTCTTCCCATCACAATGTCAGATTTGTAGAAACTGTCCCACACAGTCAGCTGGATTCCTGTTAGCACTATGGTTGGCTCTTCCTCTCTGAAAATTATCTTTCATCTCTGTCAACACTTCTCCCACCGAGCAACGTCAAAAACCCTTGGCAAAGCTTGCTGAGCTTGTTCAACACAGGAGAGGTTGGTTTGATCCATAGCTTTCGCGTGACCCATCTCAGCCGCTTCAGTTCAGTCTTTCAGATCTTTTCATGGCTTTTTAGTTTATCACAGGTAATGTGATCCACTGTCTCCAGTTTTAGTGCACAAACCCTTTCATTAATTACTCCTGATATCACACTTGTCTATGTTGAGGGGAGACAAACAACAACAACCCTTTCAGTATCCTACTAAGATCACAATATCAGTTCAGATGTGCTTACACTTTTATTCCAGGCTTGCCTGATGCACAGAACAGTATTGACTGCCATGCATATGCAAGAAATGCAAATGAAGGACAGTAGAGCAAATGTTTGTCCACCTTCTGACAAGAAGTCCATTTTCCCAGAGAAGTGTCTCCTCTTTTCTCAGGCCTGCTGAGACCTTACAGGGACATTCCCTCCCTGAGTGACTTATGACACAGCAAATTCTTTCCTTCACGTGTGGAGTTCTTCAGGCCACAACTATTACACTGCTCATCCAGATACCACACTATGAATGAAAGAAGTGGATCAGATGTGTTCTTGCTGTAGCAGCTGAGCTGTGACTGTGATTCTTTATGAAACCTCTTTCTTAGAACTGCTCAGGTTGCTTTATATTTGTATAATCCTAATCATATATTCCAAATTGTTGAATTCCTAGTCAGACAGCACCTGCAGAAACTGCTAGATTTCTGACTTTATCTATTGAATACGTCTCCAGGAAAAGGCAACTGGCAGCAAGGCCCAAGAGAAGAGTTTGACACAGAGTTGGTGCACACACCCTCTGAGACAAATTCCATCCTCCATCCCCATATGCAAACCCACTTATGCACAACACCCAAGCCAGACAACCTGCCTGGATCTCCCTCATCAAAAGACAGGATTAGCTTGAGTATGATTCTTCATATCAATTCCACAAGTCATCCTCTAACTTGCAGAGGAAGAAAGACTGTAGGCAGGCCATTCGGGATGTCTACTGGAGCTGCTTTCCTCATTGGTATTACTCATTTTGTGACACTCCTAAAATGCAACAGGCACCATTTGTCTTGTTGTTGCTGAGTCGTCTGTTTTGATGCACAGTAAAAAACAAACAATCCACCCTGGTGAGTTTCCATGAGTTGTAATAGGAGATTCTGGAACTGCTTTATCTCTGATGGCTTTTTTTTTTTGCTTGTGAACATTGGGAGATCTTTTGTTCTCCATTTGTAACGCTGAGCTACTGCCCTTTCTCCAACAAGTCCCAGTTTTCCCTTCTGTCAGGAATAAACATCTTATTCAAACTCTTCACCAGCTTACTATCCTGTCATGTCTCCTAAAGCGCCCTGAATGCTTTGAAAAGGTCCCAGAAGTACCCTCCCTTCTCCAAGGCTGTTTTAACAACAATTTCAGTCCAATAACATGAATCACATTGGTAACAGAAATCCTTTCACGTAGCTTGCTCAGAGTCATGAAGGAGTCAGAGTCATATTATGGAGATAGTTTAGAATACCTGTGATCCTGCATAATACTCCCTCTCCAGTTAGAGCAGCAGGCTCCCAGATTTCTCCACAGCATGAATTACCTAAAGCAAATACGTCCCCTAAACAGTCATGCTCTGCCAACAGCCTCCAGTGCTACCAAATGAAGCTAGTGCTGCTCCTCCAGTTTTCCTGGTTCCTCAGTCCTCAGCCTCCCACAGTGATCTTTGCTCCTTTCTTTATGCAGATTATTTAGTTCCTCTCCATGCTGGAACTGATACTCAAGTCTACCACAGCTCCTCACATGTAGCCAGGTGAGCTAAATAGTCCAGTTTACAGGAGAGGGTTTTATAGTGCTGTGGATTTGAAAAGCCAGATTGCCCAAAAATAGGCAACGTAAGGAAGTTAGGCTTGACTTTCCTTCTTCTAAGGGTCAGAACTTCCTCAATATTGTAGTTGTCCTCATAGTTTCTCATCTACTGGTCCAACAACAAAGAGAACAGGAGGAAGCTGGTGTCCAGGAGGTAGCAAACAGGGCAAAAAAGCCAAAAATACGTGTTCTGAAATTCCAATTTACTAGACTTGAATGAAAACATCTAGATACTACTTTCAGAGACTGTAGGTTTAAGAAGCACTCTCACATATGAACCGGATTTCCAGACTATTGTTACACTGAGTACAACAGTTTATGTAGAATTTAGGACTCTACTTACGTGTTCTGTAATGTGAACTCCACTTCCAGCTCCTCGCGTGCCTGAAGAGAGGGGGAAAAATAAAGGTATATTACTTATTTTTCTTCATAGCTTTCATCATACCAGTTACATATATATTTAGAATAGCACTGAAGAAAATTCCCAGAACATAAGTGTAATTTGCAAAAAAATCCCATGGTGCCAACTGAAGATACTGAATTTTAAGATACTGAAAAAGCAGTTGCCAAAACTAGTTTTTTGACATCTAAATGCCATGAGAGCCATTTTTCAGATTTTAATTCCCAACACAAAAAGAATCAACTGCCTTAAAATTATTACAGTTTAAAGTGGCTGAAAATTCAGACCTCATACCAAGAACAAGCAAACATGCCAGAAATACTCAGAGTTAAGACAATGGGTAACTAGTTCTAGCTGGTTCCATCCTAGATTTTTAGCACAGAGATTTGTTCTTAATAAAAACAAGCATGGCACACTTATACAGGGATTTTAAGTCTTACAATAGCAGCAAAATACGGTTTAAGTAGACTTTTCCTATAATGAAACACTGTAAAAGGATTCATTTGGATGGAAGGAAAGCATTTGCTTTTGTTCTCCCTAATTCCATTGCTCACCTGTGGATTCAGCTGAAACTTCACTCGAGCAGTACGTCCTACAGTGAGTTTATCAATGTCAAAGATAATTGTGCAGAGTTCATCATCCCTGGTGACACTGTCTTCGTCACAAACCTTCAGCTCCAACATGTTCTGCGAAAAGAGGTTAAGAATATCGTGGACTTACTTCAATATCTAAGAGTTCCATAATGCAGGAAAATCCTCGACTAGGTTTTCTTCCCTCCTCCCTCTATTTTTAGGGGAAGATGGAAAAAGGAGAAAGAGATGGGAAAGAGATTTGGGAGTATTGGGACTGCACATGATACTGATAACTGAACACACATAAAGAAGCAGATTTGTCTGCCTGGGGAACCGAAACAAGACAGGCAGGTCATGCAGAACATTCATGAATTTGTGATAAATAACTGTATTAATGTTGCTTTATTTATTTTATGGCCTGTGGCTCTAAGTGCATAAAATAAGCACAGGTACATAAAGAATTTCCTTTCCATCATACCTAGAACTATCAGATCTTACTGGGCTTTTTATGTGATCTTTTCTCTTGGGTTTCACTCATGTATGTCAAGATCAGGAACAGCATGGTAAGGTCATATTCTGCAGGGCATTTAAATGCTTCTCACTGCTTCAGTATAATAGATGTTTCAGTAACACAAATAGCTGGAACTGAACAATACCAAGGAGGATGTAAGCAACAGAGTGGTTTTCTGAGGAATCTTTAACATTTCCAGTGTTTGGAAACTAGCTATATACTTATTGGTTTATTGTAATTTTGCATGATCTACAGACTATCTGCAGACAGCAAATGGTGAAAACCTTTTATTTTCGCTACCTTGACTCGGCGGTCGATCTTATAGCAGAAAGCTTCATTCCAGACAGGATTTTTGTTATTCCTGATGGTTCTGGTCCGAACCCTCTCACTCGAGGCAGTAGGCAGCCACAGTGTCACGTAGCAGTCTGAAAGAGAGACTGTATAACAAGAAGATAAGCAGGGTGATAACATTCAGAGAAAGAATTACTACACTCTGCATGTTTAACACAATTAAGACAAAGATAACACAGTAGGGGATTTCTTCCTAAAATATACAGGAGAAGTAAATAATACACTGAAGCACTCACAGGAAAACAGAAACATACTCACACATTTACCATGCTTATTCCCAGTATGAAGTTTTATTTGCAATAGCACCGTACTCCACATGCAGTACGAGCACACCTACCCATGCTGCATTTAGCTTTATAGTCATGACTGTACAAATTACTGGGGCAGGGTAATGTTGCCTAAACGTGAGAGTATCTACCAGTACATGTCCTCTGCCACATGCACTCACATCAGCTCTAGGATGGCTCCTGTGTTGCTCAGGCAACACACCTCACAACCTTTGGTCTGGGTTGCAGAAGGACTTGTTTCTAGCATTTCCTCCCCAGATCTGGTACCTTTCCTAGTTGAAAGCCTTTATAAGAGTGCTGGATTAAATGAAGAATGACAGATTTTATTTTTTTCTCCCATCAAAGCTGAAAAGTTTGATTTCCTTATCACAAATCAGAATGTGTCCATTTCATACGCATTCATATATTTGATTAAATTTTTAGAAGTTCTGTTTTTCTCAGAAAGCCTTTTGGAAAACAAAATCAGTCTTAGCACCAAGTTTAAGTTACTGTTCATCCTATTTCTTCCTACCACTGTCTACAGACCAGAAAAATCTTGCTATCACTCAAGGCTGGGGAAGGAAGGCATAAGTGCCACTAAAGACATTGGCTCCTTCCATATTCGGACCTGCCACGTTTGGAGAGAGATCTGCCAGAGAGGAAGACTTGCAGAAACTTGACACGGGCACCAATGGCCTTTCTCTCATACGTGTAATGCAGCACATATCCTTCCTATTTCACATTAGCAATTCTCAGCAGGTCATTTGGTTCTTACAGTAACCTTGTGAGTCAGAAGAGGTCAAGTAATACAACCCATAGTCAAGCCCTGCATCATGGGCAAAACTTGTAACAGCGTTACTACATCATATTAAGTACCATTTTCTTCATGTATTTCTTCTGTATCTTTCAGTAACAACTACAGACTTAGATTTCTCTACCAACTGTACCTCTCCCAAGCTGTGCTTTTACCATGTAACGTAGTATCATGCTGTCACTATCAGCAAAACTTTGATAAGGACTGTGGGAAGGAAAGTGTTTCCAGAAAGTTCTCTTAGCCAAACCTGATCCGAAGAGCATGACTGATCAGACATTCAGCAGAGGCACAAGTGTAGGCAGATGAAAATGTAAATGGTTAATGGTGATTAATGCTAGTGTTTCCATTTTCAAAAAGCTTGAGAGACACCGATTAATTACTTCACAGTAGCAATGTAAGGATTAAGCAAATAAACACATTGAGAAAATTTGAAGGACTTGCCCAAGATCCCATAATGCAGGCAGTGTCTGGGTCCAAAACAGAGTCTAGATTTCCAGGCCTATACCCAAATCTATTAAACTTATATTGCTCTGGAACAACAGTAGAGAGAAAGAATTTGGGGGGCACATCTATTTTCTTCTGGTAAATAGGAATGCAAGAACCAAATACCAAGTCACTTTCAGTAACTTAAGCACAAATGCTTCACTAACAAGAAAATATGAAAAAAATGCCATTGAAATGGGAAACACAAAGGTTTAATCAGAAAAACAGAAAAGCTAAAGTGGAGAAAATATATGCTAACTTAGAATTGTAACAAGAACCATACTGTTACCACTACAAAGAGACAGAAAAGCGGTACTTTCCCATAGTGAAAATACTGAGGTCTTGAGGAAAACTAACTGAAATGTTTGGAATCTCAAATGCCTTTTTAATGCCTCAGAAAAGGTAAAACCTGCCTGACATATCCTTCCCACTACAGGCAAAAAAAGTAAAAAAAAAAATAAATTCCACAATCATTTCAGTTTCCTCAGAAAAATTTTCTGCTGAGAAAATACCCTTGCTGAAAAGTTTTCAAATTTCTTTGTCAAATACACTTTAAACAAAGCCTTGGGAAGCCCAGATTCTGAATTTGGGTCATCTCAAGGGGTGAAACATATGATATTCAACTGCTCTTGGGACCAGAACACAAGGAAGTAAGCCAATTTGATGTGGCAGGCATGCCACCAGGCTTCATGAAGAAAGACTGTACGATTTGCTGTGGTAAGGAGTGACTGTGAGCAATTCATTCCTGAGCACAGCCACAATGAGCTGAAGCATAAGCAGGCGACCTGCTGGAGTCCACAAATGCATGAGCAAATGGGCATACAGGTTTGCAGAGGCAATTGCAGTGAGTGCCTGGGCAGATCACATATTTGGTTGATTCAACTCATCACTTAGGCATTTGAATGTTAAAAAGTCAGTGCCTACGACTATAAGCCCACATTCTGTGTGTTTCTGCATGTTGAAATGTCTTTAGCCTCTAAGAAACCCGGAACTTTACATCTTATAAGGTGCTCTCCCTTTTTCTATTGAACCAAATCCATTTAACAAAATGATACAGTAAATATCGCAAAGTAGTTTGATCATCTGTCATTTGCAGAGTAAAAAATATTAAGACATCAACAGATAACAAAGCATTCAGCAAATCATAGCAGATTTTTTTAAAGCTGAAAGAATAAAAGAAAAAATATAGATAAGTACAGTAGTATTACATTGCAGAAGATGCAGGAGTAACCCAGAATACTACAAGTGAGTGCAGCAGAGATTTCTTCTCTGATAATAATCACTCATTCAAAAATACTGTTGTGAAGCACAACTGCCGCATGTTCCATGTTCTTCCTGCCAAAAAACACTAATTTTAACCTCGGTTAAGAAGACAGAGTTTTCCATCTACTCTTGACCCATTATGTTAATTGAAATCTCAAAATAGATTGTAGATTAACTAAAATTTACAGCTGGTTTCCTTAGAAACTGTGACGTGCTGCATGAAACTGAGTATGCCAAAAGAAATTTGATTTTGAGCAATGTTCAGCAAGATTTTGGTGAATATACTGTGGACTTTTCCTCTTCGTTTCATTTATTTGCAATTTATTCTTGTGGTCTTTCAATTTGAATTTTCTTACTCTCTTTGTCTTTGTTTAACCTTTTTCTTTCGTGCCTTTCCAGTTTCTTTACACAGCCATTTCAAATTTCCATTCAGATTTCCCCATGAAAGGGACAGAGTGGCATAATTGCTTTTTGAAAAGCACCTGAACAAGTCTCAGTGCACCAAAGGGGGTGGACTACTGAGGACCCACGGCTGTGGAACAGAAGATGTGAGGAAGCTCCTCAACGAATTGGAAATTCAGATTTAAACCAGTCCCTCCTCTGGATGAGTCAGTGTCACAGCTGAACAGTGAGCAAACTGTTCTTTCCAACTATTGCAAGTCTTATTCTCACACTGAGGATTTTTGGTTTATATTTGCTGCCACGCTGTGGTTCAACAAGCTGATGCCCACTAGTCTGCAGAGGCAGAGAAGGTGAATCATTACAGGGCTTCCACAGCTGGATATCACCAGGCTCTTTAGACTTCCCCTACTGCAGATAATTCTTCTATCTTGGTCTCTTCTCATTATTAAATCTTGTTCTATGATCTGACGATGACATTTTTCTTTTGTAGTCTCTATTCTAGATATCCTTTTCTCACTTCCCCTCCCTATCCCTCACTTAAACTCCCTCAAAACTCTCACAGTAGTGCTCTGTTTAAGTTTTTTACTTTAAATTACTCTGTTGTCTAGGTTAAATAAATTCCCAGACATAGTGGATTTTATCATCTTTTTAATGTTTATAAATTCTGTAGAAGTAATAGGATGTTTTCTCTGTACTTCTGTTATTTTCATAGGCTTTCCTGTTACTGCTGATTTTACACTTCCATCACCAGATCTCTCCTTTTCTTCTGTCCAGAAATACTGTAGGGAATACTCAGGTTTCTTCCTCAAAAGTACAAGAATTTTCATCATTTAAAGAGCAGCCATCAGAGCAGCTAAGTCTGATGTCTGATGCAGGAAATACGTCTCATACATTCCATGAGGTACGGAAAGTGAAACATCAAATGCATCACCTTGCTTGAGTCAGCCCCATTACACTTAAAAGCAGAAGGCAATACTTCAGTATCACAAGAAAAATAATTCTTGCAAACTTGCAGCAATATATCTTTTTATTCCTACACCATTTAAGAACAATGTCATTGACCAGCACAGAGCCACAAAGATGATGGAGGGAGTGGGGCATCTCCCTTATGAGGAGCGGCTGAGGGAGCTGGGGCTCTTTAGTTTGCAGAAGAGGAGACTGAGGGGAGACCTCATTCATGGTTATAAATATATAAAGGGTGAGTGTCAGGAGGAAGGAGCCAGGCTCTGCTCAGTGACAGCCAATGCCAGGACAAGGGGCAATGGGTACAAGCTGGAGCATAGGTTTCATGTGAACATGAGGAAAAACTTTTACTGTAAGGGTGCCAGAGCATGGCCCAGGCTGCCCAGAGAGGTTGTGGAGTCTCCTTCTCTGCAGACATTCAAAACCCGCCTGGACGTGTTCCTGTGTGACCTGGTCTGGTGATCCTGCTCTGGCAGGGGTTGGACTGGATGAGCTTTCGAGGTCCCTTCCAACTCCTAATATTCTGTGATTCTGTGATTCTATGACCAAATATTTTCTTTACATTAAAGAATTATAAGAAACATCTGGCAATAGTAGAAATACTCACGCAAGTCTGCCTTCCGGACATTCCTCAGTCTCAGTATTTTTACAGTGAGCAAGTTGAAAGGAGATACTGGTCTCTGCAGGACAATTCAAAAAAAGAAGAAAAAAAAAGAAGATGACACTGAGATTAATATTATAGTCTATAGTCACGGACTACTGAAGTTCTAAGAACGTAGATAAAGCAAGGTTTTTAAGCTTGAGCCAACATAATTTATCAAAGTAACTGGAGCAGTTGGAAAATCTATAAATTGTTTTGGCACAGAATCCTTTTCAGGTCTGAAATAGAAGCAGCAGATTTCAAAACCACATATGAGTTGAGAACAGGTGCTGAGAGTGCTATCTGATAAAGATTACTTATTTTGAACACTACTCCGTTATTATGACAATCAACACCCTTACAGGACACCCATGGGTGTCCTCACCTTTTACACACCACTGTTTCCAGTATAACTGACTGTCTCCAAGACACCGAACACTCACAGTAGCTGTGCAAGTACAGCTAAGCAATCACCATGCACCAGCAAAAACTACACACAGTCTAACAGACAGAAATGCAGCTGACAGTGACAAAATACTTCTCATGAAGACTCTGATCCATCTCTGATCTTCAGCCCTCATCCGCAACAGACAGCTACAAAACTCTTTCCAGAGATTATCTGTGGAATTAACTCACAACTCCACTAAATATCAGACACCTTTGGCTCAGAGGTATTAATTCTATAATACCTCATAATTTCCATGGCTCATACTAGTATGTCTTCATATTCCTCAGGCTATAAATGAACTCTTTCCTCATTTCACCTTGGAGATAACTACTTAACATCTTTCTCTTCTCTCCCACACTAAAATCTCCTCTGTTTTGTAGGTACCATCTTTCCTTTTTAAAACCAATGTTTGTACAGATAAAATTTATTTTAACACTGGCTTCAAACTGGTATTTAGCTTTGAGTCTACTGATTCTGTTTCAGAACAGAAACAGTGATTTTTGTGGCCAAAACCTTGTCTAATCTCTTTATCTATACCATTTGGTAAGAACAGATTAACTCTACCCATAAACCCTTTCACTCCTGCATTCATAGACATAAAATACACTAGTGAAGTCAATATAGCGTCCTAACACAAACACATGGGTTTTATTGTTTTGCATCTGTAGTTCCTATGTTAATTATTAAGCAGCAAAAGTAAAAACAATTTAATGATGTTAACTAATAAAAATGTACCTCGCTACTATTTCCTTCATTCGTGCTATACATTTTGCCAGACCATTTGTCTTCCCAGCTGTTGCATAAGGCTTATCCCGAAATGCTTCACTATGCTATGACAAAGTGTTAAGTAACTGCGACCACAATGTGACATTGGACACTAACACAATGTAATGAAGCAGGCCCTTGACCTCACCTATGAAAACCTCAGCACGTCTGAAAATGAAGCAGAGAAAAAGAACAGTCTCCAAGAAACAGCCTGGGTAATCCCTGGCATATTCTCTAGCATTTCTCTTTGGGTCAGCAAGGGGCCTGAAGATGCAGAGTTGAAGGTCAGTGAGACAGCAGCAGGAGCAGTCACTGATATGGGCACATTAGTTCTGCATTATCTTAACCTGTCCAGACTCTAGCACAGGCACAGTTTTATGGTGCACAGTTTGAAGGCACTTGAACAATCAGCTGGTGGGACATTTCAGCTGTATCAAAAAGTGTATCACACCTCTACCTGCTCCAAACTCGGCCACAAAGGAGAACTTGGACTGACGCATCTTGAGAGAAAAAAAAAAATAGTTCTTTTTTGGGGGAAAAACAAAATTACAATCTCCAATCAAATGCAACAAAAAGACATCATGCCCAGACTATATAGTTGAACTGCCAGAACTGCTTTTCTATATGCATTCAATAGAACTGGGTAAAACACAGAAGTAGTCCTATGCACAGGGATCAACACTCAAGGTTTATCTATCCCTGCCAAATCTACTGACAAGTTTGCTGCATTTATGCTTGGACCCTGCTTTCCCACCCAATAACTCCTGAATGTTTTTGTCCTCAGCAGTGCTATTTCAGCAGAAGAGGTGGAGCGTTTCTTTACCCCAGAAAGGTAGGGCTTACATCCCTTGAATACAGAAGAATGGACTTGAGCAGAATCACAGAATCATTATGGCTGAAAAAGACCATTAAGATCATCAAGTCCAGTTGTTATTAACTCTACCATGCCCACTTCTAAACCATGTCCCTGAGCACCATATCTAGATGGCTTTTGAATGCATCCAAGGATGGTGATTCAACCACTTCCTTGGGCAGCTTGTTCCAGTCTTGATAACCCTTTCAATATAGAGGTTTTTTCTAATGTCTAACCTAAACCTCCCCTGGTGTAACTTGATGCCATTTCCTTTTGTCCTATTGACTGTAACTTGTGAGAAGAGACCCACATCCACCTCTCTACAACCTGCTTTCAGGTAGCTGTAGAGAGTGATAAGGTCTCCCTTCAGCCTCCTTTTCTTCAGACTAAACAACCTCAAGCCCCTCAGCTGCTCCTTGTAAGACTTATTCTCAAGATCCTTCACTAGTTTTGTTGCCTTTTGCTGGACCCTCTCCAGCACCTCAATGTCTTTCTTATACTGCAATAACCAAATTGAACACAGGACTCGAGGTGTGGCCTCACCACTGTTGAGTACAGTGGGACAATCACTTCTCTACTCCTGCTGGCCACACTATTTCTGATACACCCCAGCATGCCATTGGCCTTCTTGGCCACCTGAGCACACTGCTGGCTCATGTTCAGTTGGCTGTCAGTCAACACGCCCAGGTCCCTTTCTGCATGGCAGCTTTCCAGCCACTCGTCCCCAAGCCTGTAGCATTGCACAGGGTTGTGACTAAAGTGCAGGACCCGGCACTTGACCTTGTTAAAGATCATACAATTGGCCTCAGTCCATTGATTCAGCCTATCCAGGTCCCTCTGCAGAGCTATTCTACCCTCAGGCAGATCAACACTCCCACCCAATTTGGCATCATCTGCAAACTTACTAAGGGTGCACTCAATCCACTCAAACAGATAATCGATAAAGATATTAAACAGGAGTGGCCCCAACACTGAGCCCTGGGGAACACCACGTGTGACCAGCTGCCAGCTGAATTTAACTCCATTCACCACCTCTCTCTGGAGGGGGCTATCCAGCCAGTGCTTGATCCAGCATGTCCAAGCAACCCAAGTTCCCCATCCCAATGAAGTGCTATAACCAATAGGCTGGACACCACTTTAAAGGAATAATCTTTGCTCATTTCTTTGTAAACAAGCATGTAGACCTCTACTGTGTGTATCTCAAGTGGACATTAGTACCTCCCTGCAGCCCTAAGTGCCATACAGAGTGAGGATCTAAGAAGGGTGTTTCTGTGCCAAGCTGTCCTTGTTAGCTGGATGTACCAATTTGCTCAGTTGTTACAGTTCCCATTCTGGTGTATCTAACTCCCCAAACAATTGAATCAATATTCAGGGCTTCACTCTGGGTTGTAGAGTCCCTTCCCATACTAGAGACTTGGAAGTCAGACATTATAGCTCCTAACTTTTAGGTGCCTGAATGCTTTGTCAAGTCAGTGGCTTACCTAAAGTCACACAGAATAACTATTGAGAGGCATATCTTAAAACTGGATAATCTGCTAGTAATAGACAATGACTTCCACATCTTTCCCTTTAATGTGGTGATGATGATCATCTCACAGGCTGGGCAAGTTCTGAGGCCAGAAGCCTCCCTGGTCAGTTATTACACTTACTTCAACTTTCAGCTTTTGTATTTATTTCATCTGAGACATGGTTCTTACCTCATAAACCGGAAACACCAGCCAGGCATTTTAATAACCACTGTCGAAACTACTTAAATATATGAGATTGCAAAGGCAGGACATGGTCACACTAGCCTACGTCAGATAAAAGTTCAATTAAATCCTGTGGCACACTTATGCAATCCTTACATATCTAGCCCCAGGGAAGTCAATAGGAGTGTTCACATACATGAGTGCTCATCCACATGAGTAAGAGTGAGCTCTAAAACTGCTCTAATTCAGTAAAATTCCCAACTTAAGTATTTTACAGAATTGTTTTCTTGAGGAGACTAGTGTGAAACACATACAACATTCCCAGGTTACATCAAGAGGAAAGGCAGCTCTCAAACAGTGTGTCAGACCTATTCG